GACAGAGACAGTCGGACAGACAGTGAGACAGTCAGACAGAGACAGTGAGACAGAGACAGTGAGACAGAGACAGTGGGACAGAGACAGTCAGACAGAGACAGTCAGACAGAGACAGTGAGACAGAGACAGTCAGACAGAGACAGTCAGACAGAGACAGTCAGACAGAAACAGTGACAGTCAGTCAGAGACAGTGAGACAGGGGGACACCCTGCGTGCAGACATGAACGTACCGAGTCTCTCCTGAAAGTGGTACGTCTTCCTCATCTTCCTGGTGAAGGTGCTCGTCTCTCTGGACAGCTGAGGGAACAGGTCAACAGCTGACTTGATGCCCGTCAGAGCCAGGAAGTCTGAAACGTTCGATATGATTCGTCGATTCTCCTCCATACTGAACCGCCCCCGACGCAGAGCAATACCTGCAGACAGCCAGGGCCAGTGATCAGCAGTACTCAGTTGTTTAAAGTATTTTAGTACTAGCACACTGTGTTTTATTTCAGTACCAGTACACCCTGTGGTTTGAAGTATTTCAGTACCTTGCTGTTTGAAGTATTTCAGTACCTTGCTGTTTGAAGTATTTCAGTACCTTGCTGTTTGAAGTATTTCAGTACCTTGCTGTCTGAAGTATTTCTTGCTGTTTGAAGTACTTCAGTACCTTGCTGTTTGTAGTACTTCAGTACCTTGCTGTTTGAAGTACTTCAGTACCTTGCTGTTTGCAGTACTTCAGTACCTTGCTGTCTGAAGTATTTCTTGCAGTACTTCAGTACCTTGCTGTTTGCAGTACTTCAGTACTTCAGTACCTTGCTGTCTGAAGTACTTCAGTACCTTGCTGTCTGAAGTACTTCAGTACTTCAGTACCTTGCTGTCTGAAGTATTTCTTGCAGTACTTCAGTACTTCAGTACCTTGCTGTCTGAAGTACTTCAGTACTTCAGTACCTTGCTGTCTGAAGTACTTCAGTACTTCAGTACCTTGCTGTCTGAAGTACTTCAGTACTTCAGTACCTTGCTGTCTGAAGTATTTCTTGCAGTACTTCAGTACCTTGCTGTCTGAAGTACTTCAGTACCTTGCTGTCTGAAGTATTTCTTGCTGTTTGCAGTACTTCAGTACTTCAGTACCTTGCTGTCTGAAGCTCCTGAAGCGATGCAGGTCGTCTCGCAGCAGTATCCTGATGAACGACACAGATTTGTTCTTCACTCCTGGAATAAACTCCTCCAGCTCCTCGACGAGTTTCCAGTCCAACCTTAAAAGAAGATGATCAGTGAACCTGGCCCGACCCAAATGGACCTGTTCTGAGTTCTGACACCGACCCGATACTCACGATTCTAATCTGCTCCTGTTCTCATCTTCGTTGCTGGACGACGTTTTCTCCAGTTCCTTCATCTTGTTCTTGCCTCCATCGTTTCTCTTCTCCTTGGTGGTGGTGACCTGTGTTTCTGTAGAAACCTGTGGGCTTTCTGTGGTGACAGACGTCTGTTTCTTCTTCTTCTTCTTCTTTTCTCGCTGTGACGTCACTTCTATCACACATTCCTCTGTCTTTTTCTTCTTCTGCTTCTTCGCCTTTTTTTTCTTCTCAGGAGCGTCGATGTCGACAGGAACAGGAGGGTTCTTCTGACATTCCAACTTCTTCTTCTTCTCTGGATTCAGCATCAGTTCATCAGCAGGATGAAGGTTAAACTCCTCCTCCTCGTCATTTGCTCTCTTCTTTTTCTTCTTCTTCTCTGGATTCAGCATCAGCTCATCAGGAGGATGAAGGTTAAACTCCTCCTCCTCTTCATTTGCTCTCTTCTTTTTCTTCTTCTTCTNCTTCTTCTTCTCTGGATTCAGCATCAGCTCATCAGGAGGATGAAGGTTAAACTCCTCCTCCTCTTCATTTGCTCTCTTCTTTTTCTTCTTCTTCTTCTCTGGACTCAGCGTCGGCTCATCAGCAGGATGAAGGTGAAACTCCTCCTCTGTTTCCTTTGCTTTCTCCTCCTTCTCCTTCTTCTTCTTCTTCTTGTTCTTCACAGGAGCATCAGAGTCGACACTGGCAGGAGGTTCCAGCTTCCTTTTTGTCTTCTTGTGAGCAGAACGCGAGACCTCTGGAGCTATCATGGTAATGCAGAAACAAGCTAATTAGGAGAACCAAAGCTGGAACATCATTGGCTGTCACTGGTCACAGATGCTGCCTGAAGGTTAGCCTGTGATTGGATGTCGAAGGTCATGTGACACAAACAGGTCTTTGGTACGTCATCGATTAGCCGGAGCTGAAAAGAACAAATATCAACATCAGTCCAGTGGCTCTGCATCATTTACACACAGGTATAAACACATCACCTGTGAATAATGAATAATAAAACACTGTTATGGATTAACCTGCAGGTATTTTCTAATAACTGTTAATATAATTATAAACATAAAACGCCTGGCCCTCCTCCCATCAGTAACTTTCTCTTCCATTAACAGATAAACTCCTCCTCTCCGGTTTATTACCATGTCTAGCCGGGTCATGAGCCGGTAAATCGGTATGGAACGGACCCAGAGATCAAGAAGCGTACGTTTGTGTTAATCAACCGAACAGTAAACAACCAAATAACAACAGTAAACAATACGAGAAGTAGCGGGAGTTAGCTAGCATCTTGTTTTGTTTTGATTCCAGAGCTCTGGGTTTAAATTATTTTCAACTACAGATGAAACGAACCGGAAGTAGAACTTCCAAACCGGATTCGTTGTCGGCAGCTGATCAGTGATCAATAATGTTATCGGTAATATGAGAAAGGTCCTCACATTCTGGCGCGCTCCGCATCAGCAGCTACACGAGCGGGCTGCATGAAAAACAACGTTCACTTCCGGGGTTTCTTGGGCATGCGCAGTACGTAACCCAAAAACAGTGACGGATATTACGTCATTAGCCCCAACCGTTTAAAAAAAACATAAACATTTCTACGGTCTTAAAAAAAAAAAAACAACAGATAAAAACTGGTGTATCCCGTACTGTAATGATCGGTTCAGCTAAATAT